TCGCGACTTTCCTCTTTTTTCGCGCATCTACATCTTCTTTCTTCTGATCTTTTCTCTTCTGACTCTTCTCACCTCTGCTTTTCAACTGTCCATATTGTCGGAAGTTTCACTTCTAAACTTCCTTCGATTATCATTTGATTGTTATAATAATAACTATAACTATTATTTTCATGAATATTATTATTTATATGTGTTATTCTTATTTATTTGTTTTTATGTTTAAAAATAAGCTTCGGTGGTATCCCCAACAGCCGCAACGTTTTATTTTTACAAATCTGTCTGAAGCGTGCTGCGAAGCCAAGCGCTGGAAACACTCTGCTGAACCTGTTGAACCTGACCTGGCCCTGCACCAAAGATTCCCAAAACCTTCTCCGGAACCTTCTCCTGAACCCTGTTGAACTTGACTTGGCTTTGCACCAAGGCTTCCCGGAACCTTCACCGGAACCTTCTCCGGAATCCTGTTGAACCTGACCTGGCTCTGCACCAAAGCCTCCCAGACCTCCGGAACCTTCGGAACCTTCTCCGGACCCTTGTTGAACCTGACCCGGCGCCTGCACCAGTGCACACCGGAGCTATTCTGGGCTGAAGACGCCAGTAGCTTACGCTGTTGGGGAAATACATGTTTATTCCCCACCTGCCAGGTGAGGGTTGTTAGATTTTATGTCAGTTGCCTCCTCCTCCTGCCGCCTCCTACCTCCTGCCTCCTCCTCGTCCTCCTTGTCGTCCTTGTCGTCCTCGTCGTCCTCGTCGTCCTCGTCGTCCTCGTCGTCCTCGTCCAACTGCGACCCGCGATCCACAGTGTTCGCTGCCGGACCTCAACCACGACCATCCACGACCAGTGTTCCCTGCCGGACCTCAACCACGACCAGCCACGCCCAGTGTTCCCTGCCGGACCTCAACCACGACCAGCCACGCCCAGTGTTCCCTGCCGGACCTCAACCGCGAGGATCCATGCCAAGTGTTCCCTGCCGGACCTCAACCGCGGGTATCCACGCCAAGTGTTCCCTGCCGGACCTCATGTAGGAAGATATGGGACAAAGAATGTGCAGAAGAAAGTTAGAAAGAATGTCAGAAAGAATGTCAGAAAATATGCCAGATATGCCAGAAGATGCCAGAAGATATGCCAGAAGATATGCAGAATATATGCCAGATATGCCAGATAATATGCCAGATAGAGAAGATATGCCAGATAGAATGCCAGATAGAATGCCAGAAGATTTGCCAGATAGAATGCCAGAAAATATGCCAGAAGATATGCCAGATAGATATGCCAGATAGATATGCCAGATAGAATGCCAGATTGAATGCCAGAAGATATGTCAGATAGAGTGCCAGAAGATATGCCAGATAGAATGGCAGAAGATTTGCCAGATAGAATGCCAGAAGATTTGCCAGAAGATATGCCAGATCATTTGCCAGAAGATATGCCAGATAGAATGCCAAATAGAATGTCAGAAGATATGTCAGATAGAATGCCAGAAGATTTGCCAGTAAGAAAATGTATAAATGTCATGGTGGGGATCACACGAAGTAAAGTAATTATTTTTTATTCATTCTTTTTAATTATTCATACGCGCGCGTGTGCGCAAAATGAATCATGTATCCATGCTTAAACATATGGATGCTTTCAAAGCAAAGTTTGACATTTAGATCCAAATGTAAGCAGTATATTGTGCATTGTGCATACGACAAACTCGCTTGGGTTCAGTCTGTGAGCCCGAGGGTTCCGACCGCCTGTTGCGATTCTGCCCGAGGTGTGGATTGGGTGGTTTACCGCCCGCGCCGCTCAAAGAAACTCAAGGCGAGCTAAGCAATTCTGGATAAGACCTTGGTTTACCCGTCAAAAACGTGAGTTCCGTCCAGTAATTGTTTCATCACATTCTGAAAATGCTGGTTTCACTGACTGTAGTGTTTGTTTTCTTGTCCTTCACATGGAATGATACGTTACAAAGCAAGGGCGAAAAATTGGAAAGGTGGTTCCACAACCGGCTGAAGCGGCTGAAGCGGCAGAAGTCGCTAAGGATCAGTTTGAGGCCGATCTGGGACCTGATTTGCCTTGTTTACGGTGAAATTGATTTTTCTTCGCTTTTCAGCGAGTTCTTGAGCCCTAAATATGCCAAATCCATCCAAATCCATATACTAAACAAAACCATGGGGTACTATTGTCTATTTTTGACTCATTCCCAATGCGGAGCCAGGATGGTGTGAAGACATCCGTCCCAAGCCAGGCTGGTAAGGGGCCTGGCAGTCCTGGCCACCACGGAGTTGTGGCAGCCCCCGCTCCACTTCACTAGGTGTCAAGACATTATCATTTAGTTGGTGGTTTGAAATATGTGTTATGTTCACCCATATATTTGTATATATGTGTGGTATTGTGTGGTGGTGATCCGAATTGACTAAGATTATCTCTATTGCTCGTTCAATCATTCTGCGGGGCTCTCCCAACGCATGTCCAAACTTCTACAGGAAACCCTATGTTTGGAATTAGAAACACGGTTTGCCGTAAAATGCCCCTTAAACCCAACCATTGATTTAGTGTTTTCGATCCCAAAAACCCTGGTGGCTGGTTGAAATTGCTTGTATCATATTGGATGTTGGCTGGCTTGTCATCTCAATTTCTCCTTTGTTTAATGTGTGCATGTTCATGTGCATGATATAGGTACAGATAATCAATGATAATCAGATACATTTAGATGAAACTTGTTGTATCCCAAGATCTCCCCATCTCCCAACGTTCCTTGAGGCGGCCACAGACTCAGAGTCTGTGACCCGCGCCCAAGCTTCACCCGGTGGCCAGGCGGCGAGAAGTTGGGTGAATGAATTCCCATTTTTCCAGAGTAGCAACCAAAATGGTTAATGTGGGAAAAAAAACATGGAAAAATATGTCATAAGCCAGCCATGTGGGAATGGTTTATACGTTTATACCACCTATAAAAATGCTGATTTCGGGGCTTGCTTATGGCATTGTTTTACCCACATTAGATCAAGTAGTGACTAAGCAGTGATAATTCAAGTGGTGATGTAAAAATTGCCTACTAAGATCGTTGCCCACGACTTTTCCCGTTGCTATTCAATGGGTTATGCTGGTGACAACCACGTACTGATAATGCAAGTAGGAGTATAGCCACCCCGTAAAATGCAAAAGTTCAATCCTACCGAAAATAGAGAGAGAGAGAGTGGGAACCAAAAAACTACCTAAAAGTTTAACATACCAGTAGTTTAACATATTTGAAATGTTTCTATCTTAATACGGTTGCACCCCGAAGAAAAGTAACCGCCAGGCAGCCGGCGGTGGGGACAGTGACATCCTGGCATGAGGTGCAGAAATTTCCCCATGATGGCCCTCGCGAGCTGCAGGGGTGTTGGAACTTTATTAAAACACACACACACATATATATATAATCATATATATATATACATACATACAAATATGCATATGTGTATTCATGTATGCATAATATACATACATACATACATACATACATGCATCCATGCATCCATGCATGCATGCATGCATGCATGCATACATGCATCCATCCATGCATACATGCATACCTGCATACCTGCATACATGCATACATGCATACATGCATACATGCATACATGCATACATGCATACATGCATACATGCATACATGCATACATGCATACATGCATACATGCATACATGCATACATGCATACATGCACACATGCACACATGCATACATGCATACATGCATACATGCATACATGCATACATACATACACATAAAGATATATATATATACATATACACCCGCATGTAAACATAGATATATGTGAAAATGTAGGCCTGCAAAGGTGTTTGGTGATAGGTTGACATTGTTTTGGAGTTTAATGGTGGGAACATTCAGGATGTCATCGGTTCATGGAACAGACATATGCTGCCTGGGGACAACAGAAATAAAATATCACGACCAGCACGGACTCGTTGTTTTTACTGGAACGCTGCTATAACATCACTCCTGCAGGCAGAGGGAATCGCAGTTCGATCATCTCGTGCACATTGCGTGGCTGGTTGCAAAGCAGCATAGTATTGAACGGAGATCCACTCACCACATTACTTTTGGTAATTGCATGTTGATCATGTTACTGTCATTCGTTTGATGATTTTTGATGAACTTGAAGATTGAACACCAGGCCAGCACTTTTTTGGTTTCTGTTTGTATCCAATCCCATCAGCCTAGATCCTAGCCTGTTTTTAAATTCCAGGGATGGGCCCTTCATGGCCCTTCCCATCGAATGGTAGATCTTCATAGTCATGGATAGGGGAACCATGTGCCCTTGTGACTTGTCAGCGAAAGTGGCTCCGCTGGCGGAGTTTTGGTGAGTGAGGACCCAAGGGCTGAGCAAGTGCCCTAGTCACCTAGTTGTGTTTTTCTTTTTTGGCCGGAACATTGATGCTAACAAGAAGTGAAAATCTGATGTGCTGACCTTGGCTCCGCAAAAAGGTACCTTGTAGGTTTTGGACTAGGGGAACCTTTGTGAAAAGGATAGTATATTTTGGTGGAATATCTAGTTTCATGATATTGGTGTTCTTGATTTCAGGAAACCCCCATACAGTGAAGATCGATTACGAGCAGAGTTCTTGTGTTTCGTTGGCCTTCATTGTTTCCTGCACTCGCAGTAGAGCTTTCCGCCAAGTGGAAACGTTCTGTTGCCAACACAATGCGTCCAGGGGCGGTGTTTCAAAAAATGGTCGATGTCAATGTCAGCTCAGACGCTTCTGCTACTGCTTGGTGGTTTCATGCAAAAAATGGATCCTTACCTGGGATGATAACCCCATAATATCCATTAAATTCATATCCCATATATTTAAATGTTGGGCTTGAAAGTGCCAATATGGCGATAAAAAGTCCACTTCTTTGCAAAGTTTAAGTGTTGCGGCATCGTGGTTCGAGAGTGCAACCTTTCTGAGGCAAAGCTTCCAAGATGCACTTCAGGTCACCGCGGGGGTAATGATGCTGGAGAAAGGCAACGAAGGGCTCTTCCAACCAACATATTTGATACCTGCATTGTGTACCGATTTTTTTTGGATACAAAGTGTATCCCATTATTTCCCATTCTTGGTTTGCCACTGCTAATGCAAGTGTTGAAAGGATTCAAATACTGTGAATTGAAGGCATCAGCAACAACCATTTTTGGAAGCCTCATGAAAGTCCACAACAAAGGCAAGGGTTGCTCATATACACCATTGTACAATATTGTACACCAGTTTTCATGTCATGTGGGAACGTGTGGTACGCCGGGGAACCCACACTAAAACCCATAGATTTCCTGCAGATCTCCCTTAATGCAATCCAGTGATCAATACTCTTCGGAATGCTATTTTGGCCCAGAGCGCGAACGCACAGAAGTTGCGTCATTGACCGAGTTGTAGACCGCAACAACCCTTAGCCTTGGTCCGTGCCCTCGTTGCAGAGCCACCATCAGTTTTCTGTAGTGTTTCTACTGTTCCACTGGGGCAGTCAAAGGCCCGACCCAAAAAGAGACCACAGAAAAGGCAAATCCTTTTCAACATGCTCTTTCAACATGATTTGTTTGGAGATCCTGACATTTGTGTCGATATTTGTTGTTGATTCCCTATGAGTTTGCTTGCAGTCCTGGCAGGCCAATCGTGCTGATTCCTAGTAGCAGTGTAGTGTACCACTGGGTACATGAACCTTAAGGAGCCAATGTGGTGAACCCAATGGCAGTAACACATAGTAACACCATGTAGCACCCATTTATGTGCAGGTTTACAATACAATGCAAAGCTGGTATGGTTTAGGTACTGTTTTGCCTTTGGTTAATCACATTTGATTCTAAAAACACGATACAGTATCCTGTATTTCTCCCTTAAGCCACCAGTTCCCCAATTCCGTTTTGCAAACAAAAAACATCTGAATTCCCACACCCCTGAAACCCCAGGATATGGCGAAGACGCTGCTGGAGCAGGTGTCGCGCAGTGGTCCTTTGGACTGTCCAAGTGTCAAGGTGAGACGTGACTGTGGCAGATCTTCGGGCAGTTCTAGCGTGGTTTATCGATGTTCAAGGTCTTATTTCAGTATCAACCCATCCAACCAATAAACATCCTCCAGAAACCATGGTCTAGGGAAAAACATCAATATCCCGATTATACATAAGTTACATAACCCCATTCATAGATGATGTTCCCATTTTCAAAGGGGGTTGTAATGGTTTGAGAGACTCTGGGAATCGAATAGGGCTGACTGGGAAATCTCTGGGTTAAATGGACATATATGGACATTGACATGTGGATTACTATTTGGTTGGGGTTGGTGGTGTCATATACCTTGTTTTTTCGACCCTATTTGGGGGGATGATTCCAGTTGACTATACAGTATAATCACGAAAGGTAGCCTCCTAGCGGGCTACCTTGAGTTTTACTTTGCGAAGCAAAGCGGCGGGCTGGACCCCTTATCCCTGAACGACCAGGAGAAAGGGACCCCCCCCCTCAAAGGGAACTCTCGCCATATGCCGGGTGAGTCTCTTCACGCAGCAGCCCCTTCGCAGTGTCTCGTGATCATCACCATCATCATCATCATCATCATCATCATCATCCTCCTCATCACCATCATCATTCGACTTGCAATTCGGATTTTTCGACATCCATTTTCCAAGTACCCAACGGTGCGATGAAAGTGACAGGTTCGCGCATCCATAGGTACCGCAAAAAGAGACATTGGAGTTTGTGCTAACACTGATCGTGTTTTTTGTTCCCCGCACAATACATATGTCTGACAATGTATACCTCCAAATGGCTATTTAAATGATGGACTAAGTGATGAGCAACCATGGACATCGTGGGGTGCTCTCTTTTCGGATCCAGATATCTCCGCTCTGCTCTGAATGTCCAGTTCCATGCCCCCCCCAAGTGAACTCTCGTCACATGCCTTGTGCGTCTCTTCACGCAGCAGCCCCTTCACAGTGTCTCATCATCAGCATCATCGTCGTCATCACCATCATCATCATCATCATCATCATCATTCGACTTGCAATTCGGATTTTTCGACATCCATTTTCCAAGTACCCAACGGTGCGATGAAAGTGACAGGTTCGAGCATCCATAGGTACCGCAAAAAGAGACATTGGAGTTTGTGCTAACACTGATCGTGTTTTTTTTCCCCGTGCGATGCGTGTGTCTGACAATGTATACCTCCAAATGGCTATTTAAATGGACTGGCTAAGTGATGAGCAACCATGGACATCGTGGGGTGCTCTCTTTTCGGATCCAGATATCTCGGCTCTGCTCTGCATGTCCAGTTCCATGCCCGCCCCAAGTGAACTCTCGTCACATGCCTTGTGCGTCTCTTCACGCAGCAGCCCCTTCGCAGTGTCTCATCATCAGCATCATCGTCATCATCATCATCATCATTCGACTTGCGATTCGGATTTTTCGACATCCATTTGCCACGTCACTTTAACTTTTGCAAGCAAACGGGTGAAGCAAAGGAACGTCGGCGCTTCTCCATGCTTCGGTTGGACAGAAATTTTCCCTTCGTTCTGTCAAAGCGGTGACTTGCTAGCGCATGACGTCCATATTGACAAGCCTAAGGCTTGGTGTCAGCAGAAAAGGGCCCGGTCGCATGTCGGCTTTTGCACTGAGTGATCCCCCGCGTCCCCTGTGACACAACTACCTTTCGTGTCACCCCTTCTCAAGTATGTTTCAGGGGGTGGGGGATATGGAGGCATGTTACCCTTTGGAAATCAAACATGGCCCAGTGTGGCCACACTTGGGGTTCTTACGGTAGGGGTCAAGGCCCGGTGTTCATTCAAGGTGGTGTCCGGGATGGGCGCCAAATTTGATAACCTTTACAGCACAAAAGCTCCTTCATCTTCCGTTTTCGAAAGAAGTCTGGCACGCATGCCCGAGACCTCTCGCGCAACCCTCTCCTCACTTTGGGCCTCTGTCAGATCGCTCTCCTTCTGGCGCAGTGCGACCTTTGCGATTGCTTTCGCAATCCTCTCGTCACTTTGGGCCTCTCACAGGGATCTTCACAACTGGAACTTGCAGAATCTAACCTGGCATCTCTTCTTCCAGAGACCACCTTGAGAATGAACACCATGCTTTCGCGACTTGGGTCGCTCCTGCCCGGCTAGCTTGGAGCCACTGATCATTTTGGGTCCTTTCAACCATCCTAGCTACACACTGTTGGGGTCTCTCGCCGGGATAATGATGATGTCCGATTTAACTGCCCATCCGGGATTTGAAGCTTGCCATGTTTGATTACCAGAGGGTAAAAGATGCCCAAGTTTTTAAATTAATTCTTGACCTAATCGACATCACTATGATAGTTAGTTATGTGGTAAACCCAATCGTAAACCTCCAGGTTTGCACCAGTTGTTTGCACCCATTTCGGGTAGAATTGGGGATTGTTTGTGACTCACCACATTCAGATACATTCAGGATTAGATAATATATATATATATTATTGTGTAAAATTATTGTGATTTGCCCGGGTGGACGCCTGGTGTCATGAGACTAGACTTTTGCAGTTTCCGCACTACTGGTGACTGGTGCATGTTGTATGGTTGCCAGTGACAGATACTCAAGAAAATGATTTAAATTTGTTTTTTTTCAGATGTTATGACCCTGTGGCAAAGCTAACATGGCAATGCAAAATCCTGTAGAAGCACGATGAACAGATGATTGTCCTTGTACGAGAGGTCAGTTCCCTGCAACATCCTGCACCGCTGGAGGTGTCCAGCACGGGCTCAAGCAGCAAATGCGTGGAGGAATTTGAGGTTGAGCACAAGCCATTTGGATCCATTTGGCACAGTGGTCTCCCATGGTCTCCCATGGTCTCCCATGGTCTCCCTTGTCTCGGGGATAACCCGCCTCCAAACATTCAGAGCCGGGCTCCTGTGAAATTTGCGAGATGTTCAGTTTCCCAACCCAATTAATCCAACCATCATCAACCATCCACATGACATAGAATAGTTGGTGTTGTTTGGGCATTCTGATGCCTCAGGTTCAGTGTGAAGAACTTGCTGCCCTCGCGGCTGAATGCCGATGTTTGCGCGCGATATGACTTCGATAACGAGCAGATCGGCCAAGGTTTGGTGCCGGTTTGACGCTCGAAAATGGTATCGCAGAATTTCCAATGACCACATTTGATGCTCTGCGGATTATGCTTCATGTTTGCTCAATTTATGTCCGTCATTCCCATGCGATTCCATAGCTATTCCAGAGGATGATCGAATCCACAGGGTCATATTGCGCACGATTTTGCATAGCAACCCAAAATGGCTCAAAACGCCGGAAAGTTGGACACTTGGAAATGATGGTGGGGAAGTTCCCCAGGGGAACGCCAAGAAACATCACCAAATTATCTGTGCCATCGAGATTTCCAATTGGTTATTTTTTTTTTGGGGGGGTTGCCAGGATAACTCAGTTGACTAACCTGCCAGGCGCCTTCGGCTCTGTCTTCGTGGCCCGGGACAAGCGGCAACAGGAGCGCAAGGTGCTGATATGTGCTGATGTTGGGGAATATCACGGGGACGTTGTCATCCCAAAAAAGATAGGAAAATTATTTTTATTCTTTTATTTTACAGGTAATGTTTTTTTTCTTAATATATAATATATAAACATATATATGTATATATTATATACATGCTAAATATGTACTAGGTGGCTAACTGTAGAAAGCAGTTAGTAAGGGGTACAAGAATTTCTGTGTAAACGTATCTGCGTTTATGGTTTCTCTGTGCAAAAGTTTTCTGCTTGCAACGGTTTGTGTGTACAAGAGTATCAGAGCTTCTCTCTGACAGTAAAAGCTTAATGACGTATAAACGAGCTGAGATGAGTTAAGAAGAGCTTCGATGAGATGAGAAAGGTGGAGCAGCGATCAGATAAGATGAACATAGTTTCAAAGAATTTGATGACATATGAGAAGAGATGAGCTGAGAGGAACTGAGAAGAGCTCAGACGAGATGAGATGAGATGAAGTGTGGAGTGTGAAGCGTGCAGTGTGAAGAGTTCAGAGTGAAGTGCAAAGTGTGAAGTGTGGAGTTTCAAGTGTGACATTTGGAACAGCGCGCGGGCCTGGCTGGTGCACGGCACACGTAATAATGGCAAAACTGAAACATGTGGGGTTCGAAATTTTGAGAAAACCCCACCGATTGGACATCAATTGGCCAAAGATTTGATCAGCTTAGCATGACATTGCCATTTTACAGACATTTTTTTTGCCGGGGGGGACCCCGTGGGATAGATCACAGGCAGTGCCCTTTTACAAAGCTGCTTTCTGAAGGGCACATGAGTTGACAAATGTAGGGATTGGCGATCAGCTGGGTTCATTCCAAAAAATGACCTCCAAACCGAGGCAGTCAAGGTAGCTGCTTTGGCCAACAGCGTTTGACTTGAATACCAGTCAGTGGCGCAAGACCCCAGCATTGCCGCGGAAGGTTGCAGTGAAGAAAATGCTGATCATGGATGGTGAGCAAAAGGAATCTTTTGAGAAAGAGGCCCAGATTATGATGCTCAACTGGACACTGCTAAGTTGGGTCAGATCTAGGGGCGGAATGGCACGCCTGAAGGTTGGCCCAAGCGGAATGGTTTGGTTCGCCATCATCCCCAACAGGAGGGGTTCGAAAATCTCAGGTTTGTGCATTTTCTAGATGGATTAGATATTTTTTCTGTCGTAGAATCAAGAAGGGAATCATATGGACTATGCCTGTTGAGGAACAGACGCGAGACATGGGTTGACTAGATTAGAATTAGAATTGACAACTCATTTTTGTTGTTTTGTTTTGTTATCGCACCCGCTTTCGAAGACTAATGGCAGGTAGTAGGTCACGCCATGGGATGCCATGAGTACGGGTTTGTACTACGGTTGTTTTTCTCAGGTGGGGTGCCCACTGCCATAGCCTGACAGCCTGCCAGCCTCCAGCCCCAGGAAAGACTTAGATCATCCCAATATTTGCAGATTGTTGCTTGGTTGGCATCGCTTGTGTGTCAGGGCTGGCATCAAAGATCTCGAAGTTCCAGGTGATTAGAATCCTATTCAAAACATAAGGAGGATTTGGTTTGTTTTTCAGAGTGCCCAAACATTTTGCTGGTTGATCATCATTTTCCCCCATTCAGAAAAATAGTTTGGAGTGGCCCTCATCATTGATATCCCCATAAATCTCGCCATATCATTTTATGGCTACTCTAGTACTAGTAGGCATACATATATGCATGCATATATTATATATATAATTATATATATATATAATATGTATATGTATATGTATATACATGTGTGCGTACTATCCCCATGTATCCCTCATTTTCTGAGTTGTCACCAATCAGAAATCTTTGAGGCTGGAGGTCTATCAGAAGGGGCGCTTCATGTACTTCGTCATGGAACTTTGCGAGGGCAAGGTGGCCTGCCGACACGGATGCCGAACTTGGGGCCAGCGTCCAGACATATGTGTGCATGGTGTTCATGTAGAGACGATATTGGCTGTAAATTCACAGAGAGAGTAATAATTCTTGAATTACTGTACATGTACAGACATAGAATGACATAGATACCGTATAGTTATTTACTGTGCGTATTCATGTTCATTTTTACATCATAGAAACATATATATATATTCTTATATACTATACACATTTAAAACACATGCCAGATGAAGTGCCTATTTTATCAAGAACTTACCCAGGGTCCTCAAAGAGAAAGAGATTCCTTTGATACCGCGTATCATTTGTCACCACCATTTTGGTTGGGATCTTGGGTGAACAAGTTGGTCAAGTTGGTACAGCTGATCAGGGTGATGGGCATGACGGCATCACTTGTCACTTGTTTCTAGTCCGGTTGGTCCCAGCTCAGGATGTCTTTGACCGAATGCTGGAGCAAGAGGCCTGTAGTTCTCTATTACCAACCTGCCAATTTGGCATTCTCAGGGCCCAAAGCAAGCCCTGAGAAGGCTCGCACCATCAGCATTGACTCATTTCGACATTTTTAGGTTGCAACTCTTGAATCCTATAGACTGCTGAACATGTTTTTCCCTCCCCACCCTACAAGTACCTGCTGGTATAGCAACCTTTTGTAACCTTTCCCAGCCTGTGTAGCTACAACGAGTTGATGCGGTGCCGCTTCATCCAGGAGCATTCCTTTGGAGAGCCACAAGCTGCCGACATCATCCGCCAGGCAGGGGGGCGCAGAGTGGCCTGGAGCCGCACAGGACGGTGTCCTTCTTGAAGAGAAAGTGGGTGGCACTGTGCAGGTCGCCAGTGCCTTGCACTACGCGCACAATCTCGGCATTGCTCACCGTGTTCCCTGGCCCTTTTTCAGGGGAAGAGAATGCAGATAGAACAACTGTGTCATCAATCATCATTCGATCATCATGGGATATCAAGGGGGTTCGTTCAGCCATACCAAACTTACCTCACTCCCTCAGCCCAGTGCATTGGATCATCAAGCTAGCAGCCTGATCGGAGCGACGGTCCAGTCACAGCCTCAGGATATTAAACCCGAGAATCTGGTCTTCGTGAGCAAGGCGAGGTCAAAACAACTGCAGAGAAAACTCCTTGTTTCGAGGGCCAGACATGGCCAGACACAAAACTTGAAGTTACCATTTGCGGAGATTTGAAGAATCGCACGGCTCAGTCCTGCATAAGATATCATGGTTTTCATGGAGTCCCTGCGGACAACTCCGGGGGTTGGAAGCTCCAGGACCCAAACAGCAATCACGTCAAGGCAGGGCCGGGTCCTGACCATGCTGTGCAGGTGCCATTGAGGTCTTGAGGTCCACCCTTCAAATGGCTCAAAGTTCTCAACCCAGTGGCCCTTAGGTGAAGTAGGTGATTTGCAGCATTGATGTGAGAAGCCCGTGATTTGTGAAAATGAATGATCCATCTTTGGATATTCATGGGTATTCCAACCTTGACCTATACCCATTGAGTTGGTTTGAGGGTTGGGCACTCTAGAAATTCCCAGGGTTTGTCATCATGTTCCTTATCAAAACTGCAATTTTGAGGGTATCCCGTGCTATGAGGCTTCATTCAAAATGTTCCCGAATGACAAATCAATATATCCGAGTCTGTGGGTAGATCACCACTATATCCCCATTGAATCCCATTACTAGTAATTAAAACATATTAAAACGCCATGAATATCCCATATCTCCCAGATATCTCCCAGATATCCCCCAGTGCCCCAGTGAAATCAATGGCACCAGGTCATTGACTGGGGCCTGGGCTTCTACTTTGGGGATCATCGGATGAAGTCCGCCGTGGGCAGTCTTCAGTACTGCGCGCCGGAGGCCGATAAGGGGGAGCTTCCCGTGACACGGATGGATTCCACAGAAATGGGGGGCTTCCCCATGTTTCAATCAGAACAGCGCTACGCTTCCCTGGTGATGAAACCAATGGCAGTCCAGGTCCTACAGGCAGACCACTGGACGGCTGGCTTCAAATCCGGATACTCCTGCGCCTGTGATTTGTGCCTTTGGCAGCCGTTTTAGCGGCTGAAGGTGGAAGGATTCCAGGTTCATTCATTGGAAGTTGGTACTTTGACTGTCGAGAAGGGCACGGGGGTCGCATTTGCCCAGATGCCCAGCCCAGGTGGAGTCTGGGTGTTTGTACCTATGTGATGCTGTGTGGCAAGCCACCCTTCTGGGGATGTATGCATCAGCAGTTGAAGATGATGAAGAAGGCCACCAAAGGGATGGTGAATAAAAAATCGGGGTACCCCATTTTTTCATGGGGAACATATGGGAAAGTGATGGCACATGAGGTTTTGAAGCACTTTCTTCGTGGTGCCCTCCCATGCTGCCAGGGTCAAAAAAGGCAGCCCTGCCAGGAGAAATTCCCAATGGAAGATGAAGTTTGGCAAGCGATTTCACCAGAAGCAAAGGAGTCTTAATTTCAATTAATTTGAATTAAATGTTTTCTATTTCTGAGAGGTTTAACCGTAAGCGTATTGTTCACGGTTGTGTTGTTTTTTTGTTCAGATGGACGTCGTTGGATAATGTGTCTCAAGAGAATTTCGCCATCGCTTGGATTTCGCAGAATCGTTCAACTGTTCAACAAACATTTTGTGTCACGTGATGAATCGACCAAGGATTTGGTCAAGAGTTTGCTTAGATTGAACCAGAAGAAGAGGTTGTCCCTCGACAAAGTCCCTCGGCGCTACAAAACCACCGCTTGAAACCACTGATTTGGTGCCACCAAGTCATAAGTCCTCAACACCAGGAATCAGAGCAATTTCCAACACGGGTATCAGTTTTCATTTCCATTGCCGACCTTTGTTATCTTTGTTCCTCAGCAACTCTACATCGGCCAAGATCTGGGTGCAACAATACTATGTTCTGATATGGATCTTCTTTGTTGCTTCACATCCCAGCATGGCATTCAGATTGATCGAATGCTTCTATGGTTTAGCACCCGGAGCCGAGGTTCTTAGCCATCCCTGGTTCACCGTGCAGAACCTTCGCACGAGACAACTCTCTGGGCAGGTGGCACGACGTGTGCTGCGCCTTGCCGATACTGCAATAGCAATTATATATATATATATGGAAAATATCCCACACACCCAGAGAATGAAAAATTGTGGTAAGCCTCTGATAAGCTATCCTTATCTATCTATCTGTTCTGCTGGTTTTCTACAGTGATGCTGCAGTTTCAATGTGCTTCATGGATTTTCACTGTGTTTATACTCGTTTGATGCTTGGATGTGTGTTTCTCGTATTGCCATATGTTGGGCCGGTGGCTCTAAGTTCAGCCGCTCCAACTGCCAGCTGAGGGCCAATATGAAGAACTTCAGCTGCTCGGAGTCATGGAATATATACTTCCCCGAATCTGGCATCATTTCATGTCATTTCCGGATATGTCCGGAAGTAATACATGATGAATATTGGCCATTTCCCACTTTAGTCTTGGGGTGTTTTCGTGAATTCACGGCATTCATTAGGCATACATTGGGCATTCATTAGGCATACATTGGTGGCTTGCGAGGGATGATGAAGGATGTTATCTCCCCATCTG